AAGGTACAGTGTTGCACTCTCTACTCACATGGATCCCGGGAATTAAAACCTTTTTACAAACATTTTGTGAAACCATAATATATATATATATATATATTGCAAAAATAAATCTCAACAATTTGAAATCAACTGTCGGCAGTTTAGGTTTCCATCAGAGAGAGTGCATTGCCCGATCATTCACTTTGTCCGACAAAGGGGCTGATCTTGTCACTATGATCACTCAATCAAGTGAATTCTCAGACTACCCCAACATACCCAGGTTTTGACCCCCTCCAAGGATCTCATTGATCGGCATATCAAAAACAGCCCAATCCAACACCTAGTGCAATACCATAATCGAGTTTAGAGATCATGTGTAATATTCCAATTTTGCCCATCTATCTCTATGGTCCAGGGCAATGCTAGAATTTGGTCTGGTTCAGGGTTTCAAGAAAACCCATACTACATATGCCTCAGGTCTCACCCTGACAGCTGAGACAAGCCACCCCAACTCATTTTGCAACAAATCAGTGTCAACTTTTGCAGGATAAATCTCCTCATGTTTATCCAACGGTTGTGAAGATTCTAAACTAACACAAGTCTCATAAGTGTCCAGTTTAAGGGTATTATACAGAAACACACAAATATAACATGAATCAAATATGCACTTTATTCATTTACAATAAATGTCATAATGTACATCAAGCTAATTAGAGCTAAGGGCATACATTGTCTAACATGGAGGGGAACAATTTAAAAAACAGATTGGATTAAAATTTTTCCCAACTTGGCTAATAACTAAAGCTCACCATTTGTTAAGTTTGGAACTATGATTTTCTAGGACATAATTTAGTTTAGCATGTTTGTCTCTACCCCAAAAAAGCGGAAGACCTAGGTATCGATTGAGGGGGACTATGTGTAATTGTCGCCTAATCATTCTTTGGTGTCTTGAATGAATATTTTTACTACAGTAGAGACCTGATTTTTCAAAGTTTATCAATTGACTAGAAGCTGACTTAAATTGAAGAAGAAGCTAATTCAAATTGTCTAATTCTTCTCTATGGGCTCGAAGAAATAACATAATATTATCCACAAAAAAAATAAATGGGTGATCATTGAAGAGGAAGGGTTTAGTTTAATGCCTTGTAATTTCCCTTCCTGCTCCACATGCAAGATTTGATGGGACAAGCCCTCCATAGCCAAGATAAATAGATAAGAGGAAAGAGGGTCTCCTTGACAAAGGCCTCTAGAGGGACAAAAATGTCTTTCCAAAGTACTATTAATTAAGACTGAAAAGGAGACCGTAGAAATACATTCTTTTATCATCGGACAAAAGCCTTCAGAGAAACTGAGGAGAGATAATGGTCATAGGCTTTAGACATATCTAGCTTTAGGGAAACATAGCCTATACCTCGGTATTTGTGTTTAAGAAAGTGGAACATCTCATGAGTGATAATGGAATTATTAGTCATTTGACATCTTGGGACAAAAGCTATCTGGTTTGGGGCAATACACTTTTATATAGGGGTGAGCATTCAGTTTATGAAATTTAAACCGAAATTTTTAAAACCAAAATAATAAAATGAAAGCTGAAACCGATTTATATATTAATATATTATATTATAACCTATAATATATCTTATGAAATTTAATTTCATTATAATACATTATATATAATATATTATTATATAAATATATAGCATATTATATATTAAATATGATATATTATATAATGAATTTTATCTAATTCAATTTTTTCAATTAACTGAATTTCTAAATCTGAAAACCGAAATTGTTAAAAACAAAATTAACCAAACCGAATTACCCAAAACCGAAAAAACGGAAATCAAAATTTTCAATCTGTTAATTCAGTTTTAACCGAATAATGTTCACCTCTGGCTACTTTTATAAAAGGTTATAAAGTCTAGTACAAAGTCTAGTACATTTACATTACATTACCAACATGTCCAAAAGATTAAAATAGTGAGGATGGGTCATAATCTTTAGAGTCCGTTTGGGAGGGCTTATGCGTTGGTTGAGCTGCGTTCATGGAGTCACTTTATAGAAATTGATGTGGAATAGCTTCACTGGAAAATGGATTCTGTGGCGTAAGTGTAATTTTAACAAAATCAGATTCATGGAGCTCTGGGTTTCTCAACTCATGGAATGCCAAAAGGCGCTGCGTGAAAGCCCTCCCTAATGGGCACTTAGCATTAGTGGCACCAATCTCGTTTGAAGTTGGAATTCCCATTCCCTCCTTGTTCTTGCTGAAGATGTTGCACAGTTCGATGAAAGGTGTTAATTGTTATTAGCCCAGTTGAAGATGAAAGGTGTTAATTGTTATTAGCTTAGAGTGCTGCTGGTTGTTCACATTAGAGCCACTACTGGATCCTCCAGACAGAGAATTGGGTGCAGAACTAGTATAGTATACCTGAAAAATCCATCTTGTAGTGTTATCGATCGCTTGGTAGTTGATTATACTTCTCTGTTTCTCAAGAAACCCAGTCGGATAGAACATGAAATCCAGACCCTAAAACAGAGAACGATGAAGGAAAGAAAAAAAGGAAAAAAGATTGTAGGTAAAATCTTTTACTCATTACGACAATGGCAATGGCATGTCGATCGGTACCCATTTTCTGCTCAAACAGAAGGGCTTTACCACTTGTACTCTCAATGTAGAACAAATTATTTTAGAAAACTCTCTTCTCCTGGTTGAACAGAGGTGGCACAAAACTCTAATGTGCATAACTCTGTTTGTTAAATATTAGCATTAGACCCGGATTTTTTGGCAGCACAAGAATCGGTTTTGGAGTTTATTTTTGATCCTCTAAATAAGGACACAAGAGTCGTAGAACTCTTCATGGACGGACACGCAATTAATCCGGTTGAACGTAAGCCAAATTCAAACTTTTATAATCACAGAGGCGAATGGAAGGACTAATGCGTCCATAATTTGAGGACCCGGATTCTTTGGCAATCACAGAGTTCATTTTTTTTATTTTCGCTGCAGTAAAAATTACGTATAAATATTTGAACATGGATCCAGCACTCCTTCCCCGCAAATCCAAAGCGTGGGCGCCTCTTACGAAAACAGGGGAAGGAGGAATCAGAGAAGAAAAAGCTGAGCTGTTCATCCGATTTTTACAGCATCAATAAAGAAAGAAAGCAATGAAGATTAGAACAGCAGCCGCTCTGCGAGCTTTATTTCTCCTGTTTTTTATAGCTTTGGAATTATGCGTAGCCAATGGTGGATATCTGCAAATGATCCGTGAAAGTGGCCGAGGTTTTCGTTCCGGCAGCGGTGGCGCTGCAAAACCTCGTGGTATAATTTTTAACGTAAAACTCTTCGGAGCTAAGCCTGATGGCAGGAAGGACAATACCCAGGTACATGAAAACGATGATGGAGTTTAAATTAAGGATTCAATTTTTTTTTTCTTTCATTCATTGCAATTAAAAAAAAAAGAAAATTAAAGACCCCACTACTGTAGGTTGAGTGATAGATACCCCCGTTAAACTTCATTTGCGACAAACACCCCCTTAACTTTTAAGTTTTAGCTTCAAAAGAGATTTTCATTCAACTCATTAATATTTTTAAATTCTCAAATTATTTTTTTCCTTTTTATTTGAATGATTTATGATTCAATTAATTTATTAATTATAACATTGAAGCCCTCTAAGGCGGTGTTTGGCATCGATGCCATTTTCTGAGAAAACAGTGCCACCTAGGCACCACATCAGAGAAAGCGGTGCTTCAAACAACGCCCTTTTGTTTGGTGCCGTTTTTCAGGAAAAAAAAAAACATTGCTCCATACCATGCCTTGGAAATCAGGAAAGTGTAATCTGGAGCAACGCCAAATTTAATGTTTTCTAAGAAAATGGTGCATTGTTGCCAACAATGCAATGATGTGGCATCAATGTGGCATCATCTTGGATGTTGGATAATATAGACTATGTTGAAAACGTTGCTGCCAGCACTGGTACCAAACAAAACCAGTGCTATTTTCTCAGGAAACAACCTATGTGGCAACAATTATTCCAAACAAAAAGTAAGCACCATTTTTACGAGAAAACGGTGTGATGTTCCAACACCGATGCCAAACACCTACTAGGTTGCTCCAATAGATCCTTGTAGATTTTTGGACGGATTTAATAATATTCAAATAAAATGGTAAAAGTTTCTTTTTGATAGATCTAAATTTATGATTTTGCTTGGTTTTTCTTGATTTACTGGATAAAGGAGTGACTACTTTTTATATTTTAAGATGATTGCAAGTGGAATGAATCAAAAATTTAAAAATAAAAAAGAATTTTTTTTTATGCCAATGAAATGTTATTGTTATTTTAGCTGATTTCATTTAGAGAAAATGAAGGTATTTTTGATCAATTAAGGTTTAAGAGAAAAGGGCAAAAAAGAAAATAAGAAAAATTTAGATGAACATTTTGATAATTTAATGCATTTTTGTCACCCGACTTAAGAGTAAAAGGGTAATCAAGGGGTATTTGTGGGACTGTGGGAGTGTGTTTTTTAACATTTTTATGAAATAAAGGATGAATTGAGGATAAATGAAATGGTGTGTGGATGCAGGCATTTATGAGAACATGGGTTGCAGCATGCAATTCGAAGGATCAGGCAAGAGTTTTGATCCCAGAGGGGATATATCGAATTGGGCCGGTGATATTTCAAGGTCCATGCAACAGCCCAGATCCCATAATTGTTCAAGTGAAGGGAACAGTGAAAGCAACAGACGATATCAGTGAATATCCATCTCCTGAATGGGTCTCGTTTGAAAAATTAGATGGCGTGATTCTTACGGGAGGAGGGACATTCGATGGCCAAGGCCAAGCCGTCTGGCAATACAACGACTGCAGTAGCAACGCCTACTGCCAGCTTCTTCCCACGGTAATAAATTAAACACACATCTTAAATTATTTATAAATTGCATGCACTTCGGTTTGATTGGTTTTATCAGTTTGATAAATAATTTTAATTGAAATTAATTACTTTATTTTTTATCATAAAAATTTATTAAAAATAGTATATAAAATATAAATAATTATTAATTATTTAAAAAGTTAAAAATATAAAACAATTATATAAGAAAAGACTATTTTCATTTTTCTTTATCTGAGTAAGTGAGTTTATTTAGACAAGTATTTCTAAGTTAGTTGAGTATTTTCAGTGGCAATATTATTCGATAAAGATAAGAGTAAATTATAAAAGCTCCCCTAAAGTTTCATTTTAACAAAAACTTCCCTGTAATTTGGAAAAATCTTGCAGTTACTTCCCTTTCATCATTTTTCCTGCTAGAAAGTTGGCCTAATGCATTAATTTTTTGAAAATATCCATTTTACCTTTATATCTATCAATCCAGATGGAGGTTTATCAAAATACTCCAAAAAACTTTTACTTTTTAACTAAGAAAATCCATAGGTCAGATTAAAGAGTAAAATGATTTAATTTTGTAAAATCATTATGGTTGAAAGTTTAGAACAGCAAATCTGGCATTTTGATTATATCGAAAGATTTCCTAACAAGTAGTAAGGAAAATTTTGCAACTTCAAAGTCTCTATTATGAAGACAATAATGTTTTTTATTTTTTTGTGATGATGAACTGAGACAATAATAGAAGGGAGGTAAGTGTAGATTTTTTTCAAACTAGAGGAGGTATTTGTTAAAATGGAACCTCATGGGAGGTTTTATAATTGTCAGAAACCTCAAGAAAGGTTTTTATATTTTACCCTAAGGCCCCATTCATACCCAATTAAATGCATTTACCCAGGTAAGTGCTTCTCAGGAAAGACTTACCCGGGTAAGTGCATTTACCCATGTTCTTTTATTTCCCATATAAACGACATAATGACCATTTTAATCATAAAAATCCATTATTATAAGGGACATTTTTGTCCCATTCAAGTATTGGCAATTTTCCTCCAAGGTGGAAAGTATCACTTTTCCTATTCCCCACATAAATCTGAAAAAAATAACTTACCCACCCTCCAAGAGAGTATTAAGAGAGTATTGGTTATCATAAAAAATACGAAAAAAAAATCTAAATCAGGCCAAAATACAAACAAATAGATGATCATCAATATAATATATATAGTTGCATATGGTTTGAATGCTGTAGATCACTTGGTGCAGTCTATCAAATTAAGCTCAGTGAGCAATGCAATCATTCGGCGGATCAAGTCCATCAACAGCAAATCGTTCCACATCGGGATTACGAATGGCAAAAACATCAAGGTGCGCAGCGTCGACATCGTTGCCCCTGAAGATAGCCCCAACACGGATGGCATCCACATCAGCCGCTCCTTTGGTGTGTCCATATCTAAAGCTGTCATCGGCACCGGAGATGACTGCATCTCCATCGGCCAGGGATCCAACAATGTCACCATCTCCAAGGTCACCTGCGGACCAGGACATGGCATTAGGTACTCCGGCGCCATTAATGCATGGCTTTTAAGCAACCAACTCTAAAGTCTGATCAGTCTCTGAGCTCATCTTGTTTTAATTCCTTCCTTATATACAGCGTCGGAAGCCTTGGCAAGTACCCAGACGAGCAGGACGTAAATGGGATCACCGTGAAGAACTGCACTCTGGTAAACACAGACAATGGCCTGAGGATTAAAACCTGGCCTGGATCACCGCCGAGCCAAGCTTCAAACATTGTGTTTCAGGACATCATCATGGAGAATGTTAGTCGCCCCATCATCATCAATCAGCAATACTGTGCTTCAACATCTTCCTGCACTAACAAAGAGCCCTCCAATGTAAAGATTAGCAACGTCTTTTTCCAGAACATCAGAGGCACCTCAGCCTCAGATGTTGCAGTCAAGATCAACTGCAGCTCAGCCGTGCCCTGCGAAGGTCTTCAACTGTTCGACATCAACTTGGTGCCTATAGCACCGACGACGGATTCCACTACTCCCTCCGCCGTATGTTCTAATGCCAAAATAAGCTTCGGGGGAGTACAGGTTCCAGAGCCTTGCACTAGCAGCAGGTAGTTGCTCTGCCTCTGCGGATTCATTGAAGAATTCCGCTTTCCCTTGGTAAGCTCCATTAATTCGAGATACCACCGCCGATTAGGTAAGAACTAAGAAGCGTCATTGTTGTATTACAAAACAGACTGAGGAATACCAGTACTGGATCGATGCCACTTATATATGAATTCACCTCTAACAATCATTTATGATATATATTGAAATTCTAGGAAGAGAATTATATTCCCTAATGAATAATCATATGGAATTAAGATTTCTTTTTCGTTTTTGCCAAACTTAAAAGTTGGATGGTCAAGTTGTTTTTATAATTAACAATTCATCATTCATCCCTTTACGGAATTACTACTAATTGTTATCAGTGTTTTAAAAATCAACCCGAAGGTTGATTCATTTTTCCTGATCAGTTGGGTCGACGGGTCCTGCGGATTAATAGTTCAATTGGGTCGACGGGTCGCTTGCCAAGTCAACAATAACTATAGTTGACCAAAGTAAGCTTATTAGCTTTAACAAAATTATGTGTAATTAATAATTAAATTTTATTTTATTGAGCTTATCAATCATGTTTATTAACAAATTTTTATTGATTTTAACTAAGTTATTTTATTACTAATATAGGTTAGAGATTAAATGTTTATGTCCTGTAGTTAATATTAATTTTTGTACATTTTTATTAATAAAACTATTTTTATTAGTTTTGTGTTGTTTTATTAAGTTAATAAAGTCAATTAATTAGTGCAATAATGTAAGAAAACCATTGGGTAATCATTTTTATTAAATTTTAATGATAACATTAATTTTGGCCAGCATGTAATTAGTTTAGCTTTTAATTAAGTTATAATATAATATATAAAAGAATCATACGAATTAATATGGTAATAATAGTCATAAACAAAGGGGATGTTTGGAACCGTGGCCGTTTTTCAAAAAAATGGTGCCATATTGGATCCACATAGGCGTTTCAACAAATGCCCATGTATCTCATTGTTTAATTTAGTTCAGCTGATTATTAAAAAATCGGGCATGCCTCAAAAATTGGGACCCCACCGATGCATGAAATGGAAAATTTGGTGTTTCATGCATTGGTGACTCGTTTCCCCCAATTGTTGACTAATGTGTATCCTATGTGGTGCTTACCTATCAGCACATACATGAAAAACGGAGATGAAAATCACCTTACCAACAACATAGTATTGCTCAGTGTCTATGGCAGAAGCGTTTTTTTGTGAAAAATGGGTCTTAGAAGCGTGGGCATTTTTTCTTGAAAACCGGTCCCAAAAAGAGCCCATGCTTCCAAACACCATGAAAAACTAGGGTAAAAGACTTAAACATATATACCTTGTATTTTTCTAATTTGACTTAAAGGCAAGGTTCAAAGTATCAACACGTATCGGCCCGTATCGGCTGATACATATCGTTCTGGGACCTCCCCGATATGCCCCTACAGTGGGTGTATTGGGGTTCTGACCGGTTCAGGGAGCCGAGGAGCCTTAAACCGGCCCCCTTAAACCAGTTTTGAAAAAAAATAAAAAAAAGTAAAAAAACAGTATTGATATTGCCCGATACGCCCCTACCGGTGTATCGGGCATATCGATATTTTGAACCTTGCTTAAAGGTACCTTTAAGATTTTTAGAAAAAAACTTCAATATACTATGTGACTCTTTTATCCTTCATTCTCTTTTAAATTTTCAAAAGATACCTTACGTATTAAATGCATTATTGCAACCCTAGCAAGGTTGCACTAGAAGAAGGCTATGCCAAACTTATGGACGGGTGAAAAGCACAATCACTTTTATATAATAAATTTAGCAAGAACTCCATGCCACCTGTAATTATGGATGCTACAAAAAGAAAATGTACGGATGTGCAAAAGTGGCGGCACCTTCTGCTTTGCTGAAAAGCATAGGCTGCTGCGTTTGGAAACAATGCAACGTGCAAATGCAAATATGCAGAGTATAAAATGGTCCATATAAATTGCAAAGTTGGGTTAGTTTTGCACTAACAAATTTATCTTCATACCAAACAGACTTTTAAATGTAATGGATGCAAACATGAATTCTAATAATGCATATGCCTTTTTTTTATCAAAAGCCCACTTGAAAGCAAATTTACTTCTTTTTTTATTGATGTACTTCTACATCTTATTATCAATGCAAATATGCATTGGAAAATGTGTTTTCTCACATTTTTCAATGCATAAATGTAATGTTTCCAAACACAGGTAAAAGTGAACCAGAGTGCAAATTTACCTTGAACCGAAATTTACACTCCATTTCATTTACAAATGCAGCCATAGGAATGATACACCATGTCTAGGGCTGCAAATAAGTTGGATTAGATCGGATTCAAATCCAAATTCAATCTGATAAGAATCAGATTTGAATACCTCTCTTGATCTTAACAAATTGGATCACATCACAGAAAGTCGATCCATTAGTTCTGAAATATTATATATTATAATAATATATAATTTATAATGATATGTTATATAATTATATGTTCTATATTATATATTATAATATATATTTATTTATATTATATCATCAATGCTTTTATTACACGTCTAATCGAATCGAATATCTGATAAAATATTTGAATTCGAATCATGCTCTTGAAAATCCAATAGATTCTTATCGGATTCAGATCAATCAGATTTGTTTAACATATTGGATCAAATATACCTTTTACCGAATCCAATCCGATCCGTTTTGAAGCACTAACCATGCTTATAGACTTCTGCCAATCAAGCAACAACTGAACCCCAAGAAAAAAGCAATTACAAAGTATGTATTTAGCATAGCTTTCGTTTATTCACTAAACTTTTGTATTTGATTTATTTGCAAAACCAATAAAACTAATAGTAAAACCGTTTATTGACAAATAGGCGTTATTAGGGACCACATCAGTGTAACTATGAATAAATGTCTAACCATTGGGGGAAGCGTTAAAATAAAGCTTCCCTCAACAGTAAACATGCACATAAATCAATGCCAGCTTTTATGAGTCTCTATGCATATGGATTAGCATGATGGACTAAATTCTGAAATGGCACCTATGTGGTAGCATTTATTGAAAAAAAGTTCACAGTCCAAATACTACCAAAGTCTCTCTACAGAAAAGTCAAGGTGTTGGGAAAAGTTTCCCCCAACACACACTTTTCAATAAGATACTAGAAGTGGATCATAATAATGAAGACTAAAATACAATCTTCTCTCAAACCACCGATCGAAGGCAATTGATCATGTCCTAATATGCTCGACTCTACGCAAGTAATTCAAGGGCTTCAGGATCAAGCAAGACTCACTGGCCGCTCCTATGCGGTTCCTCTGAAAGTGTTTGATCATTTTGTTATGTAAATTTTCGGGATCCATGTGAGTCTTTTTGTTATGTAAATAGAAGTTTTAATATCCCAGCCCGTTCTATAGCCCAAAAGGCTAAAACTTCAATCTTGGACTTATTTTCCTTGTCTATTTATCCTTTTGAGACCCGATGTTAAGGATTATGTTAATACTTTGGTGGTTGAGTAGATATATTTTAGTTATCCAAAAAAAAAATCTCCTACCTAAACCCTTGATGAAAAAGAAAAGAAATGAAGTCTTTTTACAATTGGATGGGGGCTATTCAAGTGGTGAACCCACTTTCTCAAAAATATGACTTTTTTAAACTAATCAAGTGGTGGGGTGTGGGCATACGGGGCTGCCTTTTTCTCTTTTTTTCTTCTTTTTTTTCATTTTTCTTATTTTTTGTCCAATAAATGGGTGAAATTGAATTTATTGATGGTGCGCAATCCGGTCACTCCTATCTGGCACTTGTGTGGCTCCTGAAAGGTACCTGAGATGGAGAAGACGAGGGGTTCCCGAGGATTTACTCGGCGGGAACACTCCGATGCTTAAGTTAGAGTTCTGTGAAAGATGCGAAGAGAGGAAGAAAACTAAGAGTACAGATAGCACGGGTATCAGAAAGTTACCTCTGTCCTTTGGGATTGGGCTACTTATAACAGAACTCTGTTGAATCAGGCCCACCTGCCTCTGACAGGGCAGGTATAACCGCCACTGTCGCCCTGCCGCAGCCGTTACAGCCAGGGCTGGGGTAGCACGTGCGGGGCCGTCCTTGCAGGGTACATACCTGTCAGGTGTAAGACACCTTCTAAAGGTGGCGGGCACGTCACTATCTGACGAGAGACGTGGTTGCAGCCTCCAGGTTTGTCAGGTACGGTGGTTGGGCAGGAGGCCTTCCTATGATGTGCTAAACTGCTCTTCTGTGAGCTACCCGATACCGAACTACCCTGCAAGTGGCGAGCTGCTTGTGGCAAGCTACACCAAGCTGTCTGGCCCGAGGTGTCTCTACCTCGGGGTATCTAGAGGCGGATCGGGGTGTTCCTGTTTGGGAGTGGCCTAAAATCCACTGGGAGGAGCTCGGGCATTAGGAAAGGTCAAGGGGCCCCGAGCTCGGAGGTAGCTCAGAGCGCCTCAGCCTTGGGAATGAGGTGCAATCCAGGTGGTTCTCGACGAGTAGCCTAATCTGCCGAGTTGCCAGACTAAGCTCGGTGAGCCCTTCCCACCAAGTTGCGCTTGCGCTTGCTGTGCTGTCATGCTGAATCATCGCTTGAGTAAAGTCATGCTCACATGTACCCGTGCTACGAGGTCGGGCCAAATCACCCTCCACCATTTATAATTTTAAATTACCTCACATGTACCTTTTATTGATGGAGGATATGTTTAAGTCCAATAAAGTCAGATAATAAGATGCACATTTAAGTTAATTTATGAAAACTAAGGATATGTTAAAGTCTTTTATCCAAAAAAACTAATATGCAATGGGAATGAGCTCGCATCCTATGAACCCATCGGTTCACGGGAAGCGTGCACCCTCTAATGGGAGGCATGCATGTCACCCACTAGCGTTTGAACTCCGTTAATAGGACGAATCCGGTTGAACCGAACAAAAAAGACAAAATTTAATAGAATCCACTTTTAAACTATTTGGAAATTCATGAATCATTCGA